AGGTATTCCAGAAAAAGGGAACAAGAACTAGAGCGATGAGCAGACCTGGCATGTGAAGGGGAGCAGACCTGGCATGTGAAGGGGTGTGCAGTGAGCAAGTCAGTGTGACTTTGATTGGGGTGTTGAGGGGAATACCAGGGCAAAGACTGGGAGAAGGCTGAGCCATGTGACCCAAGACCCAGTAGGCATGGGATTGCCAGGGAGCTGACTTTTATTGGGCACCTTCAATATTGTTTTCCTAGTAAGGAAACTGGGACTCAGAGAACTAGACTGGCTTGCCCAACTTGTACAGGATTAAACCTCAAGTCTATCTGGCTTCAAAGCCTTTGCTCTTTTTTTCTGCATTGTGCCGATGATGAATCTGGACATAATGTTATTGGTTAATGATTTTCAGACAATTTGCAAATACAATCTTAACCCCAAACTTTGCTATATAGTGTTACCTGAACTGATCTGGTTAATATCTTCACAGTGCCATGTGCATTTGCTATAAGTAAAAAGCTGACATCAGAACATTACTGTTAATGAAAATGCATCCTGTATTTGAATTTCACCAGTTTTTGCACTATTGCCTTCTTTCTGTACCAGGGTCCAGTCCAGGGTACCACATTGTATTTAGTTGCAATGACTTTCTTTGGACAAACCCTAACACATGAAGTCAGGAGTTGTACTACATCCTCAGATACTCAGTTTTGTGATTCACAATCAGATACTGTCTTGTACGCTTAGAAGAAATCTTAACTAGCAGGATGAGCAGCCTGCTACCAAATACAGTTGGTATAATTATCTGATAATGCAGCCCAAAAAAGAATCCACCCCAACAAATTCGATTTGGCCTGTCTTACTCAGTTTGGGCTGTTATACAAAATATCAAAGAGGGAACTTAAACAACTCACATTTATTTTTTCATAGCTCCAGATGCTAGAAGTGCCAGAAGAATTGTCAGCCAATTTGGTTCCTACTGAGGACTCTTCCCAGCTTATAGTGTTACCTGAACATTATTTTTACAGGCAGCTAATACTTTAAGTATAAGATAAGCTGAACAGATCTGTTGTATTTATTAACATAAATTTCTTCCATATTTAAATGTATGGCACTTAGGAAACCTACTAGAATAATAAAAACAGTGGCTTTCTTTTTAATAAACTTTTATTTTGAAATAATTTTAGATTTACAACGAAGTTGTAATGACATTACAGAGGGGGTCCATGCTCAGTGTCCTTACTTGGCCTTTTGTTTATGTGCAGGGTAGGGAGGGAGTTTATCTCTTTCTATAGGATCAGGGACCCACCCTTATGACCTTATTTAACCTTGATTACCTCCTAAAATCTCACCTCCAAATACAGTCAAATTGAGGGTTAGGGCTTCAACATGAAATTAGGGATGGGAGACACAATTCAGTCCAGAGCATAGTCCAAAGGCTGAAATTATGTAAAACCTTTACAATTCAATCATGGCACAATATAGTACTGAAACTTAATCCATTTTGTTCAATATGTTTATGCAGGTAAAAATGTATTACTTTGTAAAACACTTGATGCATATGAGAAAAAAAATTTAGATTACATTTTAATATTCATTAAATAAAGAAAATATAGTGTTATTTGAACATATGGTATAAAAGTAATGATGAGAAAAAATTTCAAAAATGGTTATCTTATAAAAGCTGTTACCAGTCATTTGCAGATGGTCATTAGGTTGTACATAGGTGTTAAGAAGATACAGTATTCTTTAGAACAATTAGTTGTTACTGGTGTGGGCTGTAAGTTCTAGGATTTACTTTTCCATACCAAGGTTACTTACTGTATGAAATGGTACAAACACAGACACTTCACACAGAAGAAGGAAACCATGGGGTTTGTTTCATCTTTGCTGACATAGAAACTTAACTAGCTAATTTTACACCAACTAGTGCTTAGTTGTTCCTCTTACTTGTCACTCCAGTTACTTCATACAGAGTAGCATTTTACCTGTACTTGGCTGCAAATCAAGTAGGTATGCAGTGTGCTGAACAAATGGCATTGATGCTCGGTTTTTAGTTTGGATGGTGGGGTGAATGGTACTGCCATTAATCCAGAAAACAGAGAAAGGGAATAGATTCAAAGGAAAGAGGGAGAGAGTTTGAAATATCCTAGAAAATCTGGGTAGAGATATTCAAGTCAACTCTGGAATTTTAGAGAAAACAAGTAGTATTCTAGAATAGCCATCATTTGAAAGTAAATTGAAGAGATCTGTTTTTTAATTAAAGAGTGCATACCATTGTATCAGTTACGGGATATGAAGATCAGTAAAGGGAAGAAATAATTTCTTCCCTTCAGTAAAGGGAAGAAATAATTTGGGCTTAAAACACTGCAAAATGAGTGACTAGTAGACTACAATGTTCATCTAGGAAACCTGTATTTAAGAACCTTTTAGGATAAGCCAGTCAAAGAAAGACAAGTATCACATGATTTCACTTATACTTGGAATCCAATGAACAAAATACACTGACTAAAAAAATAGAAAAAGAAAAGAGAACCTTTCAGGTATATTTAATTGGAATATCTATTAATGTTCCAACATGTGATTTGATCAGTTGTGTTATTTTCAATTACTAAAGCATTGATTCAGCAATTTTACTTGGATGAAATTCTGTTATACTCAGTCCTTAGATTCTTTTTATTGTCCCCGGCTTTATTGAAGAATCATTGATAAATGTAGTTGTATGTATTTAAAGTGTTTAGTGTTATGATTTCATATACATATACATTGTGAAATGATTGCCAAAGTTAAGATAATTAAGACATTTATCAACTCATGTAATTAACTCTTTTTTTGTGTGTATGGTGAGAGGACACTTAAGATCTCTCAAAAAAAAATTCTGCTCTCATCAAATTTCAAGTATACAGTGTCTTATCAGTAACTATAGTCACTATGCTGTACCTTAGATCCTCAAAATGTTTTCATCTTAAAACTAAAAGTATATAACCTTTGACCGACCAACATCTTCACATCTTATCCACCAACCCCCCCGACCTCCAGCCCCTGGCAACCACCGTTCTATTCTCTGTTTCTGTTTCTATGAAATAGGCTTTTTTTCCAAAAAAAAAATTTACCATATAAATTTACCATACAGTACTTGTATTTCTCTGCATGGCTTATTTAATTTAGTATTATGCCCTCCAAGTTCATCCATGTTGTCACAAATGTCAGGATTTCCTTGCAACAACCAAATAATATTCCTCTGTGTGTCACATTTTTTAGCCATTCATTTGATACATACACACACACACACACACACACACACACACGTGTGCGCGCACATATATATTTTATCTATTCTATTAAAATAGAATTTTAATCTATTCATTCATCAGTGGACACTTGGGTTGTTCCCATGTCTTGGCTATTGTGAATAATACTGTAATGAACATGTGCCGGGGCTGACCAGCAGACGCTGATGGATGAACAGATTGCTCTGATGCACATTTCTATGAAAAAAGAGGGCTAAGGGACTACTTGGCTATCGCCACCAAGTAGCCCTGTTTGCCTGCCTCCTTTGGTTTTTAATGTCATAACAACTTGAACTAAAATTAACCTCTAGGTACAATCAACAAGGTAAGCATCCTTGAGAAAGCACATTCTTCTACAAGGTCGGGTCTAAAGACTAAGCAGATCCCTTAGTAAAACACCCGGGAAATCAGACTTGTTTGGAAAAGTCAAGATAAGAGCTGCCACCTTTGGCAAGGTCCCCATAGAGGCCCCCAACCTTTCTGAGAATCCTCCTTTCAGACATTCCAACCATGTCCTGTACTTCTCCACAAACATGGGAATGAAGATATCTCTTAGAAGTACTGGTTCCCTTCTAATATATACCTAAAAGTGGGATTGCTGGATCATATGGTAGTTATATTTTTAATTTTTTGAGGAACCTTCGTACTGTTTTCCATAGTATCAATTTAAATTCCCACCAACAATGTACAAGGGTTTCCTTTCCTCTACATCTTTGCCAACATTTGTTATCTTTGTCTTTTTTGTAATAGCCATCATGTGAGGTGATATAGAAATAAAGAAAGCAATCCTACTTACAATAACATCAAAAACATGAAATACTTAGGAATAAATTTAACTAAGGAGATGAAAGACATATACATTGAAAACTGTAAGACTGCCGAAACCGGTTTGGCTCAGTGGTAGAGCGTCGGTCTGTAGATTGAAAGGTCCCAGGTTCGATTTGGTCAAGGGCATGTACGTTGGTTGTGGGCACGTCCCCGGTAGGGGGTGTGCAAGAGGCAGCTGGTCGATGTGTTTCTAGCTCTCTATCTTTCTCCCTTCCTCGCTGTAAAAAATCAATAATTATATATATATATATATATATATATATATACATGTGTGTATATGTACATATATATGTATATGTGTGTGTGTGTGTGTGTGTGTGTGTATATATATATATATATATATATATATATATATATATATATAACTGTAAGACTAATTTTTTACAAGGGTTCCAAGAACACACAATGGGGAAAGGATAGTCTCTTTCAATAAAAGTTGAGAAAATTGGATAGCCTCATGCAAAAGAGCCCTACATCACTATGCATAAAAACAATCTCAAAATGAAGACTTAAAGAGTAAGACCTTGGGTTTTTAAGTATTGGTATATAGTTCAAGTGGAATAGTTATATCCCAAAGTACAGGTCATTCTTGAGTTTAAAGTTTCAGTTTTAGTGTATGGTAAAATGTAGTTGTTTTTTATTGCTCTAATGTATTTTCCCCTGCTACCAATGCTCCTTACCTTTCATTTCATATTCCTATTTGACTTTAGAAGCTCATGGAAAAGTATCAGACAGTGTGGTCTTTCTGATAGTCTTTGGGGAAAAGAGCTGCCTCCATCTTCACCTCTATCTGGAAGCTCAAACTGTTCATCAAAACTCTGCTCTCTGGGATATTTCTAAGGCTGTGTAAACTCCTGTGGATTGGAGAAATGTGCTCATGGGTCTATTCTCTATTTACAGGTGATCCCCATGCTTCCCAGGGCATTGTGTGAGGAACTATGCAGCCTCAATCCCATGACTGACAAACTGACCTTCTCTGTGATCTGGACGCTGACTTCAGAGGGCAAGGTAACAACTTAGACTTGTGTCCATTCTACTCAATGAGTCCCTGCTAAGTCCCTACTGTATGCCTTGCACTGGGCTGGAGTCCCACAGTGGTAGATGATGATATAGGAACAGCCACCATAGAGAAGAACATATAAGAGCTGCTGCCTCTGAAAAGCTGTCAGTTTGTTTGTTTGTTTGTTTACTTACTTACTTTCCTTCCTTACCTGCAAATGAGCACACAAGAGTAATAATGGCTGCTTCCTACATGATAACCAGAATGAGATTTGAAGACGAAACTGACTGAGTTGTCCCTTATTTAGAATCCTCCTGTGGCTTCCCATTCTTTCCCATTGCAGGACTTCCAGGGTCTCCCACTCCTGTTGACTCATTTTTATCAGACAGCAGTGGCCTAGTGTGGGGCCACAGCAGACCCACTCAGCAGAGCAAGGAGTCCCCCACCATCTCTGCAGATTATAAAACAAAACACAACATCAATCCAGAGCCCAAGGCCAGAAGCACAGGGAGGGGTGTCCCTAAGCCAAGGCCAGGAAGTCAGTTGGACAGGGTGTGCAGGGAGCCCTGCCTGCCATCATCTGATTTGATGGCAGCTCTCCCTGTCTCTCCAGGTTATCTGGAAAACAGGTGGGTGAGACCTTGGCGGTTCTCAGAAGTTTGGGGCTATTCCTGGGAAATGTTGCCCAATACCTGCCCTGCCATTTCTAGGATTTCTTTATCTACAAGAACTTCTGTCCCACTCACTGGGCTTTGTGAGGAGGAAAGGGAATAAAGAGATTACCCACAGAAGTCGGTTTAAAAATTCTAGTGAAACTCCTTCACCCAAAGTCCTGTGTGGTTGGAGGTCTCTGATGTATCATTGCCAAATATGTTCCCTCATACAGTGGGCTCTCTTTGCGTTTTGTTGATGGTTTCTTTTGCTATGAAGAAGAGACTATTTTGACTCCATTGTATGCTCTTGCCTCCTTTGTCAAATATTAATTGAGCATAATGGCTTGGGTTGATTTCTGTGGTCTCTGTTCTGTTCCATTGGTCTATATGCCTGCTCCTGTGCCAGTACCAAGCTGTTTTGATTATGGTGGCTTTGAGTATAACTTGAAATCTGGTATTGTGATTCCACCAACTTTGTTTTGCTGCAGTTATTCAGGGTCTTTTTTTATTCCACTTAATTTTCAAAGTATTTGTTCTATTATAGCTCTGTGAAGTATGCTGTTGGTATTTTAATAGGGGTTGCATTCAATCTGTAGATTGTCTTTGGTAGTATGGACATTTTAATGATATTGATTCTACCAGTCCATGAATTCTTCTACTTGTTTATATCTTTTTTTATTTTTTTTAAACATCCTGTTGTTTTCTGAGAACAGGTCTTTTACCTCCTTAGTTAAGTTTATTCCTTAGTACCTCAATTTTTTTGTTGCAAATGTAAATGGGATTTTTTTTTTTAGGGTCTCTGATAATTCATTATTGGTGTATAAAAAAGCCATCGATTTTTGGGTGTTGATTTTGTATCCTCTTACATTGCCAAATTCATTTATTAAATATAATAGTTTTTTTTTCATGGAGTTTTTATGGTTTTCTATATACAATATCACATCATTTGTAAATAATGAGAGTTTTACTTCCTCCTTTCCAATTTGGATGTCTTTTATTCTTGTTGGATCGCTGTGGCTAGGACTTTCAGTACTATATTGAATAATAGGGGTGAAAGTGGACATCCCTGTCTTGTTTCTTTTCTTAGGGGAAATGGTTTCAGTTTTTGCCTGTTGAGTATGCTGTTCACTGTAGGTTTGTCATATATGGCCTTTATTATGTTGAGATATGCTCCCTCTATTCACACTTTGCTGAGGGTTTTATCCAAAATGAGTGTTGGACCCTAGCCAATTTAGCTCAGTGGATAAGGCGTTGGCCTGTAGACTGAAGGGTCCCAGGTTTGATTCCGGTCAAGGGCATATACCCGGGTTTGTGGGCTTGATCACCAGTAAGGGGCATGCAGGAGGAACCAGTCAATGATTTTCTCTCATCATTGATGTTCCTGTAGACTGAAGGGTCCCAGGTTTGATTCCGGTCAAGGGCGTATACCCGGGTTTGTGGGCTTGATCACCAGTAAGGGGCATGCAGGAGGAACCAATCAATGATTTTCTCTCATCATTGATGATGTATCTCTCGTTCCCTCTCTCTTCCTTTTATGAAATTTATATATATATATATATATATATATATATATATATATATATATACACACACACATATATATATATATAAAATGGGTATATATATATATATACATATATATATACACACACACACACACACACATATATATATATATATAAAATGGGTGTTGGATTTTTGTCAAATGCTTTCTCTGTGTCTATTGATAAAATCATGTGATTTTTCCAACAGCCTGTGTGTCATTCAGCCCCAATCTGCACTGGTTTTTACAGCCCACAGTTCTTACAGCCCAAAGGCTTCCCCCAGCTCTGGGACCCTGGGTTGGGGGTCTGGTATGAGGCTGGGATCCCTTGTGCCTCCAGATGGCCTCTGCAGAAGTGATCTTCCTCCCAATTAAAGAAGTGGAACACCTCGACACTGGACCAGCTCGTTCTGCGCCCCTACCACCTCCTACCAGTCTCAGTGTGCTTTCTTCTTTACCTCTCTAGTTTTAGTACTTCCACTCAGCCAGCTTTCCCATGGTTTTGGATGATAGTTGTTCTGTGTTTTGGTTGTAATTTTGATGTGGTTGTAGGAGGCAGCAAGTATAGGTGTTTATGCTGCCATTTGGGTTCTCTGATGGCCTTCATTTTGAAGTCTGTTTTGTTAGATATGAGTATTGCTACTTAAGCTATTTTTTATTTTCCATTTGCATGGGAAAAATTTTTTTCCATCCCTTCACTCTCATTCTGTGTGTGTCTTTTGTTCTGGGGTGGGTCTTTTATAGACAGAATATATATTGCATCATGTTTTTGTGTCCATTTACCCACCCTATGTCTTTTGATTGGAACATTTAATCCATTTACACTTAAGGTTATTATTGATAGGTATTTGTTTATTGCCATTTTTAAAAATATATATTTTATTGATTTTTTTACAGAGAGGATGGGAGAGGGATAGTTAGAAACATCGATGAGAGAGAAACATCGATCAGCTGCCCCCTACACACCCCCCACTGGGGTTGTGCCCACAACCAAGGTACATGCATGCCCTTGACCAGAATCGAACCTGGGACCCTTCAGTCCACAGGCTGATGCTCTATCCACTGAGCCAAACCGGTTAGGGCTGTTTATTGCTGTTTTAATTCTGTATGTCTCGGTTTCTCTTTCTATTTCTTCTCATTACAGCATTCCCTTTAACATTTCTTGTAATGCTGGCTTAGTGGTTATGAACTTCTTTAGCCTTTTTTTTTTTTTTTTTTTTTTTTTTTGTCTGGGAAGCTCTTTATTTGACCGTCTATTTTGAATGATAGCCTTGCTGGATATAATAATCTTGGTTTCAGATCCTTTTTTTCCATTACCTTGAGTATTTCATGTAATTCATTTCCTTCTGGCCTGTAGTGTTTCTGATGAGAAATCAAGTATGGGAACTCCTTTATAGGTAACAGTTTTCTTTTCTCTTGCTGCCTTTAAGATTATCTCTTTGTCTTTAATTTTTGACATTTTTATTATGATGTGTATGGGCAAGGGCCTGTTTGGGTTCTTCTTGCTTGGGGTCTTCTGTGCCTCCTGTACTTGTGTGACTTTTCGCTTTATCAGGTTAGGTAAGTTTTCTGCCATTATTTCTTGAAACACATTCTCTATCCATTTCTCCCTTTCTGCCTCTTCTGGCACACCTGCTATTCTAATATTGTTACATTTCACATTGTACCACAGCTCCTGTAAGCTGTCCTGTTTTTTAATTTTAATTTTAATTTTTAATTTTTGTACTCTGAGTGATTTTTTTCAACTCTGTCTTCTAATTCACTAATTCGGTCCTCAGTTTCCCCTAATCTGCTATATATTCCTTCTAATTGTTCTTTATTTATGCTCTCTCATTCTTTTTTTCTAACTGTTCTTTTTTTCATAGTTGCTATATCTTTTCTCATGCTGTTGAGAATCTTTACCATTATTATTCTGAAGTCTGTTTCAAATAAATTTCTTATCTCCATTTCATTTTTATCTCTTCTTCTGGAGAATTCTCTTGTTCTTTCATTTGTGGGTTGTTTCTTTGTTTTCTCGTTTTGGCACCTGTTAGGTTTGTGACTATGTATTAGTTATATCTGCTACACCTTTCAATCTCTAGTGCAGGACATTGTCAAATATTGTTTCTGACTAATTAGACTAGGCAAAGACTCAAAGTCTCCAGAGACTGCCTCTGACTGCAGATTCATAGGATTCCTCTTGATCTGCCCTCATGCAATCATCCACAGGTATGACAAGAGTTTTGTTGTTGTTGTTGTTTTCTGCAGGATGGGTTAATTCTCTTCCTGGAGGCTAATTGTTATTCTCAGTTTTGTAAGGGACAAGGTGCTTTCCAATAGAGTGGGTCAGCTATCTTCTCCCCAGGCAATCATCTGCTTGAGAAAGATTACCTCTGCAGTGTGAAGGAATGGCTCAGCACAAGAAATCAGGGTATCTGCCTTCTGATCCAGAGCCTTCAATCCTAGTGTCTACTCACCCAGCTCCATCCACTCTGCTGTTCCTCTGTCAGAGTACAAGATAGGTGGCTCCACAGGGACTTTTATGCATTGGCCCTTTAAGAGGGTACTGAATTTCTAGCCATCTCTCTCTGGTAGACAGCTACCCTACTGTTTTTCACAGCCAGATATTATATGGATACCCTTCTCAGTTTTGATGTTCTCTGCTGTGGGGCCCACTTCGGGAATTAGACCCCAGAGTTCTCAGTGGCACCCCACATAGCTGAGATTTCTCTCCAGAACTTCAGCTGCTGTCTATGTGGGCTTGGCCAGCCCTTTCACACCTCTGCCCCTCTACCAATCTCTATGCAGTCTCCTCTTTTTGTTCTCAGGTTGT